TAAAAAAATGGGAGAGAACGATTGAACAATAGTTTTCTGCTAGTTCTGCACAATTTCTGACTGGAGGAGAACGATGAAACAAATAGTTCTCCAGCCCGCGGCCGGTTTCGTCTAATCGTCATCCCCGGGCGCCGCCGCGTGAACACGACCCCCGGTCATTTACGAGTCGTCATCCTCCATCAAGACACCTCCCCCCGAAAAGCTGGCCCAGCATTTCTTTTAGCCCATCTGCGCGTGGCCGAAAGCGCCCTCCGACGCGCCGGGCACGACCTGCCCAGGGCAGGGCCTCGGGCGGCCTCCGTGCTCCACGGCTGCAGGCGGGCGTCGCCGCTCCGTGTGCCGGGGGCCTCTCTCCAGCAGCGCCGAGGCCGGCCGACGGGCGCGCTCGAGGCACTCCGCGCGGAGCGCGCTGCGGGGCTCAAGAGGAGCCGCACGCGAGGTAGAAGTCGCGGGCCGGGGACGCCAGGCGGCCCCAAGGGAGCCCCAGAGCGGCCCAAGAGGCCTCGAGTGCGCCCCAGATGGGCCCGGGGACGGCCCTGAAGCGGCCCTGGAGTCGGGGGCGCGCAGACATGGATAAGCGATCCAGGGATTTTGGGGCGCGGTCGCCAAAGCCATGGATCGGGGAAGGTGCCCCGCCCAAAATGCAGCCGGCGCCGCCTCGCTCGGCGGCGGAGGTCCGAGATGCCCCCTGGAAGCAGGACCCGTCGCTAAGCCACGCCCCCTGAATCCATGTTTGCGATCGCCTGAGCTATGCAACGCAATCACCGCTGCGGCAGGGATGCGTCGGACCCCTCCGCTCCCTGCGAAGCAATCGTGAGGCCCTCCCTGCGCATCGAGCCCAACAATGCGCTCATGCTTGCGGCAGGGCCCCTGCGAGAGTGGCCTTCCTGGCAGAAAACGTGCCAAATGTACTCGTCGCAATACCGGGTGCCCATTACACCCACTCCCCCCACCCCCTTCCCCCCCCCCCCACACACACACCACACACACACACACACACACCGCTCCCAGCCCCCGCCCCCCCCCCCCCCCGCCCGAGCGCGGTGGCGGAATCACGCCGAACTGGATACACATAATACATAGATGTACACAAACATGTCTGCACACATATGCGTGTGTATACATGTATAAATATAGATGCATGAATGCATACACATACACATACATATACACATACATACAACCATACATACATACATACATACATACATACATACAGACAGACAGACAGACAGACAGACAGACATACAGACAGACAGACAGACAGACAGACAGACAGACAGACTTACGCATGTACATACATGCATACATGCATGCATGCATGCGTGCATACAACCAAACATGCATACACACATACATGCAAGCAGACTTGCATGCATACAAACAAAAAAATATACACGTAATCATACATCATGTACGTACAAAACTGGAAGCATACAACCATGCAAAACATACGCACATAGAGATATACCATGTCATACCGTACGAACCATACCACACTTAACCACGTACGTATACGCTCGATATATAAAGGTACAAATTATATATACATATAAAATGTGTAACACTATAAGTGTGTGCATAGACATAAGCATGCGGGAATACATGAACGAAGTCGGCGCAGTCCGCATGAGCGAGAACAGAGAACACTGGGGCATCCAAGCAACTTCACAGGGTAGCTCCTAGCCAAACTGGTAGCCAAGAACCAGCGGCGTCTGCAACCGAACCGGACGAACCAGAGCCCTAACCGAACCAGTCGGAACCAGACTGGCCAATTCAAACCGAACAGGTAGGCCGAAACTGGCTGCAACGAGCAAATTCTGGAACCGAGCCTGCCCCAAACTGGATGGGAGGCCCTGGGGGGCCCTGGGATGCCACGGGGGAAGGCCCTGGGAGTCCCTTCTGGGTGGCTAGGGGGGAGCCTGGGGGGCCCTGGGGGACACTGGGGGGAAAAAGGGTGATGATTGTGCTGGTGGTGAAGCGTCCTGCGTTCTGGGGGGGCCGAGGGTGGCCCTGGGGGGTCCTGGAGGGCCCTGGGAGCTCAGGGGTTCCTGGGCGGGCCCTGGGAGGTCCTGGGGAGTCCTGCTGGGTCGCCCGGGGGGGGGGGGTCCTGGGTCGCCCTGGGGGGGCCCTGAGAGCTCGGGGGGGGTCCTGGGGGGGGCCCGGACCGAGCCGGCCGAACCGGCCCGGACGGCCACACTGAAACCGAACCGGCCCGAACTGGCCCGCGGCCGAGACCGCACTGGCGCAAGCGAGCCGACCCGCGGCCAGACAGGCCCGCGGCCGCACCGGCCCGAGTCCACCGAGGCGGATGCTTCCTGGGCTGCGGGAGGGTCCAGGCAGGGCTGCAGATCCAGCCGAGATCGGCGCGCTGCCCCGAAGAACACCGAGCGCAGCATTTCAATGTGATGCTCGGAATCTACACAAAAATCTGCAGGCCATATTTTTGGTGATCTAGAAATATAGAAATCTAAAAATGCAGGCCAAATCTAAAAAAAAACTGGAAATCTACAAATGATGTCGGCGCCCATATTTTACGAAGGCTACATGTACTTCGGCAGGTTCAACATCCGCGATTTGTGATATCCTGGACTATGCCTGATGGTATCATCGTCGAGCGATCCAAACCTGCAGAACTCCAGATACCACCAGCCCAAGCTGCTGATTGATTCATACAAATGGGGGGTTTGCGCATGGCCATGGCACGACGTCGTCTCCATAGAATTCAAGTCGCGTTGGTCGTCGTTGCTCGTTTTTGTCGGGACTGCCTGGGCAAACGTAAGAACTTCAGGCTGGGGCTCTAGCCACAGTGGGGACCAACTCCCGCCAGCCCATTGGGCAGAGGTGATAAAACCCTCCTGTTCGGGAAGGTGGCGACATCTGTTACTTATTAGTCTACACCCCCTCCCCCACCTGACTAGAGGCAAAAACAAGACCATGACGACCACTCCCGCCATCCCCATCAAAAAACATACAAAGTTCACTCTGCGGCGACATCTCGATCGCGCGAGGGAGCTGAGCGATCACGTTGCGTTGCTTCTCTGGCAGCGGCGATAGGGTGCTCCGCATATGGGTTGCTGCGCGCAGGCCCACCATCCACCATGTCGTAAAATCAGCACGACACATGTTTTCGTCGGCGGCGAGGCGGCGAAATCCGCAGAAGCGTAACAGCTAGGTAGGGGCACTCACTACCGAATTGGCCGGCGTGCACGGAAGGAGGGGGGAGGCCGAGAGGAAGGAGGGACGCTCAGACGCCGAAGAATTCGCCGATGAGCAGCCGGCGGGCGGCAGCAGCCAGGCGCGCAGGGCCAGACCGCGGTGGGCGGCCGTGGTGAACCACGGGGGCAAGGTCCATCATCCACCACGTCGATCGAAAAATCAACACGACACACACACACACACACATACGCTGCGGCAAAATCTTGGTCGTGCGCGGGCGGTGCGCGATCATGTTGCACTGCTAGTCTCCGACTGGGGCCACGGCGGTGCCCAGGCGCGCGCGGCGCAACCTGGCGGGCGTCGCGCAACTGGCTGGCGCCTGCACTGGCCCCCGATGGCTTGTGAATGGGGCGCGCCCCTGGTACACACCGCGGCGCGCCCATGCGCTCTGAGCCACTGTCGGCTTGTCCCGCTTCTCGGGAGCGGTCAAGAGGGGGGCGTCCAAGAGGGGGGGATGCAAATGATGGCCAGCGGCATGTGCGCGGCCCAGGGGGGGGGGGCCAGGGACGCAATGAAATCAGACGACGCGCCATGAAATCTGAGGAAATACCATGGCCCACGCCATGATATCCACACACACACACACACACACACACCCCTACTCATCACCCCACTCTTTGCCGCCCCCGTGCTTCGGAACTGGATCGGAACGTGAGCTCCAGCTGGTTGAGCGCCCCGCACGTTTCGACTGCAGCCGGGTCCGAACGCGCCCTGCGTTCCAGCAGCTCGAGCTGCAGGTCCAGATCAGTTCGGTAAAGATACGGACGCCAAGGACGACTGGATCCATTGCGCAGTAGCGTACAGCCCAACATGGAACAACACAGCTCAGCACGATACGGACGAGCATGGCACAGCGCAGCACCGCATGGCTCCTGGCACTGGATCATCAGTGGATGTACTGAGCATTGCCACTGCTTATTGCCCAAGTTAGGGCAGCTCTAACTCTATAACACCCTTCTGGTTCGCGGATCGTTCATGATTTGCGTGAGGCAGCTGTAAAAAGCGGTCCCTGGGCCGCTGAACTGAACCACCAACAACCATATTGACACGATGGCCGACGCTTCGAGGCACTGGCCAAGAGTCCGTAGCCCGACGAGGTCGACGAGCACGCAGACTGCAGCAGGTTGAGGCGGCACGACGGAGACAAAGCGGGCAACAGAGCATACTGCACTCCTCGAGGACAACATAGAGGAAGAAACTGTACAAATATGAAGTTGCGAGGGTCCGCGCGGATACAGTCGGGGCTTTGACCCAAGGAACCCAAATAAGGGAACGAGGCCCCATTTTTCCACAATTTGAACTTCGATTTCCCATCGAAAACCTACCGAACACCTAAGGCAAACTGCGAAACTATCAAGGAACACGGAGCCCCTCCCCAACGAAAAGGGTCTCTTTCTTCAGCGCCCCGACTGTATCTTGGATCTGCGCTGGGCCATTCTCTATGGCGCGAGGAGCGCGCCAGGGGCGTCGCCAGAATTGTCGCGGGAGGGGGGGGGGGCAGCGCCGGTCCGAGAAGTCCGCGCGCACCTCTGAAAGGTTATACTGATGCACTTGTTCCTCGGCAGCGCTGAAGTCGTGCATTCTGAGTAGAGTCACAAGGCGCGTCCACAATACATGTTCGTAACGAGACGACGGAGCATCGCGTGCAGGGTCGATACGATGTCACAATCAGCACCCGCATGTTTGGCGAGGTTCAGTCTGACACCACCCGTCCTCCATCTCCGCTGACGTCGTCGCCGCCTCCTCCACCTCCCGGAAAAGAAATACGGAGCACACATTTCCTTGTCAAGGTCCTCCTTGAACAGCCTGCGAAAAGCGTCCGCCAGCGAAATGCTCATGCCTGCCAGGCTCAGCCGAGGAACAATATTGGCACAAGGCAGAATCCCATTCCCAGCTGATTCTGCGTGCTGTACCCAGGAACTGCCACGTACACAATACATGCTCGAGCGAACTTGACCACCATACATTCCATAACTCGAAGACGAGAACGCAAAAAAGAGTCCGCATTAATCCAACGACGTTAGGGGAGCACACAAGAGCACCCCAACTGGGGGCGTGTTATATGTACACAATGCCCACAAACAATCTGGTTTGGCACAAGACCGCGGAGCGGGAGCTGTGCATAAAAACGGCTTCCCCTGGGGACACGATGTCTGCACACCACCCCCGCAAACAAGCTGGTCTGGCACAAGACCGCGGAGCGGGAGCTGTGCACAAAAACGGCTTCCCCTGGGGACACGATGCTTGCACACCTCCCCCCGCAGACAAGCTGGTCCGACACAAGGTGCGCGGGTAGGGGCGCTGGCCATAAGTTGATAGGCCTGCTTTTCACCACCACCTCCAGAAGTTGGATGGGGGAGGAGGAGGAGGAGGAGGAGGAGGAGGAGGAGGAGGAGGAGGAGGAGGAGAAGGAAGAGGAGGAGGAGGAGGGGAAGGGGGAGGAGGAGGACAGAGGAGGAGGAGGAGGAGGAGGAGGAGGAAGAGGACCCCCTCCCCCTCCAACTTATGGTGGTGGTGGTGGAAAACAGGCCCATCATAATCGGCCCCCGACCCACGCCACGTGGGGCGAGCCCGGGCGAGGCGGAGCTGCTGGTGCCGGAGCGCCTCCCGAGGTTGGAGCACCGGAAGGGAACGGACGAGAATGGCCACACAGCTTCCCACCTTGACCCCCCGGAGCCTACCCCACCCCAATCATCGCTGCCCCCCGATCTGCCCAGAGCGGCAGGAGCACCTCCAGGGACTGGCGGAGAGAGAGAGAGAGAGAGCGAAGAAAGCTGGAGCTCGAGAGGACTGGAAGGAGTCAGGAAATAGAGGACCCCTAACCCTTGGGGAGGGAACCAAAAGTTAGGAGGGCCAAAAACATCAGGGCTGGGGGTCTGTTCTGCAGACGTGTCAGATCCAACCGCCCAGAATTATTTCCCCTGATGCGAAGACGGGGACGTCAGTGAGGCCACGTCTCCTCATCATTTTATTAGGGTTAGGGATCCTGTGTGCTAAATGATGGAAGGGGGCTGATTTCCCACCAACACCACCACCATAGGTAGGAGAGGTAGGAGGAGGAGGAGGAGGAGGAGGAGGAGGAGGAGGAGGAGGAGGAGGAGGGAGGAGGAGGAGGAGGAGGAGAGGAGGAGGGGAGGAGGAGGAGGAGGAGGGGAGGAGGAGGGAGGGAGGAGGAGAGGAGGAGGAGGGAGGAGGAGGAGGGAGGAGGAGAGGAGGAGGAGGAGGAGGGAGGAGGAGGAGGAAGGAAGGAGGAGGAGGAGGGAGGAGAGGAGGCGGAGGAGGAAGGAGGAGGAGGAGGAGGAGAGGAGGAGAGAGGAGGGAAGGAGGGAAAAAGGGAGGAGGAGGAGGAGGAACAACAACAAAAAAAACGTACTCTTCCTGTCGAGAGACAGGGCCCGATTTCTAGAGGGGTCGCGGAGCGGGCGGGACGAGGGCCTCGCGGCCGGCCGGCCTCCTGCGTGCACCACGGCTGCAGGTCCACCGCGCCGGCGCGGCCGAGGCACAGCCCGTGCCTGGCGGCGCGGGAGGCGGGGCGCCGCGCCAGGGCTGGGGCCGCCGGGGGCGTCCTGCAGGGAGGCCTGGACATGGGCGCCCACGCGAACGCAGGGGGGTGCCTCCCCCCCTCCCCCTCCCCCCCCTCCCCCTCCTCCTCCGCCTCCTCCTCCTCCTCCTCCTTCTTTGGAGGCCTGGAAATGGGCTCCAACACCAACGCAGGGGTTGCCTCCGCCAGGGGGAAGATGATCCTAGATTTCGGTGTTGGTCGTACCAGTTCGGCCGCCTGGGAAGCCAGGATAGTGCCACCATCACCGAGATCGGGATCGTCTTCCCTCGGTGGAGGCACACCGCCGATATTGGCGCTGGTGTCAACATCTAGGCATGCGAGGGCGCCGCCGGAGGCGTCCCTGGCCCAGAGTCGGGACGATGAATTGTGTCTGTGTGTTTTCCCCTCCTGAACCAATACACCACCACCAGCCCGAGCCAGGCCTATCGTGGGCCCTGGACTGGTGTACGGTAGGTTCGTGTCGTGCCGACCCTGGCGCAGGTTTCTGACACCGCGCTGGATCGTTCAACCTTTCACGGTCGGCAAATTCCGAAACGCTAGCTCGTTCAACATCGACCGATTCTGGGTCGCCAGCGGCGACCAACGTTGAACGCTGGCGGCGGGGTCGCCGCTGGTCGACACGACGCGAACATGCCGTGCAGGCCTTCCTGGCTCAGGCCAGGTGGTCTGTACACCGATCCAGGGCCCAGGAAGTGCCTGGCCAGGGCTGGTGGTGGTGTATAGCTGGCATCCCACGGTTCTCTTTTCCAGAAGGCGAAAGGGCCTGCCGCACACCAATTGCTGCAAGAGGAGGAGGGGGAGGAGGACGGAGGACGGAGGAGGAGGAGGAGGAGGCGGAGGAGGAGGAGGAGGAGGAGGAGGAGGCTGGCATCCCTCCGAAACGTGAGCGCCGCGAGGGAGCGGGTCTCCCGCGAGGCCGCGCGGTGGCACCAACGGCCTTCCGCCGCGGCTCTCCCGCGGGCCGCCCGCGCGGGCACGCCCGCAGGGAGCCGGCGGCGTCTTTCGCGCGGCCCTGCGAGGGCAGCTCACGCGCCAGGGTCCGTGCAGTCGACCCCGCCTTTTTTCTCTCCCGTCGCCCACGATGCCCCCAGGAGTCACCAGCAGGTCGCCGAGGCCTCCCACACGGGAGTTGGGGACGAAAGATAACAAAAAATACTCGAGCAACAAAACATACGAGCAGGTCCCTAAGGCCTCCAGGGTACTCCCTCGCGGAGGCCCCCAGGATTCACGAGCAGGTCCCCGAGGCCTCCTGCACGGGAGTCGTGGACGAAGGGTAAAAAAATACTCAAGCAACAGAACATACAAGCAGGTCCCCAAGGCCTCCAAGGCACCCCCTCTCGCGGAGGCCCAGCCGGAGGGCCCCAGGGGGGACGCCACGAGGGAGGCGGAATGGGGCGCGCGAGGACGTCCCAGCACGATGTGCCTGTGCTGGAGGCGCACGTCCGACCCGAACGTAGCACACAATCGTGCAGCACATCGCTTCCCGAGCGTTATAGTTAAGTCAGGCCTGTCCCTCTGCAGGAATACTCAAACATAGTCAACGAATCGTCTGAGGACCATATTTTGACCATGGCTGCTCAAGTTTGGAGCATGTTTTGAGTATGTCTGTTTTTGTCGTCGAAAATCGGCCTGTGGGGGGACATGCCCGACCTAACGTTATTGAAGGGGCCCTGAGACACACATAGAAATACACGCAAATGAAGCGATTCCGTATATGTTCCCATATTTTGTTATGTTCGTCTTCCCCCCCACTTCCCATAGTTTCCCCTATTTTCCTGGGAGTCGACGATTCATTGTGTCTGTGTGTGTGTTTCCCCTCCTGACCAACGTTATTGAAGGGGCCCTGAGACGCACATAGAAATACACGCAAATGAAGCGATTCCGTATATGTTCCCATTTTTTTTATGTTCGTCTTCCCCCCCACTTCCCATAGTTTCCCCTATTTTCCTGGGAGTCGACGATTCATTGTGTCTGTGTGTGTGTTTCCTCTCCTGACCAACGTTGTGGCCAGAAGACGCCCGCCACGGAGCTTCTGTTGGCAGCTTCTCGCGAGCGTGCGCGTCGCCCGGCCGTGACCGACGCACACATCGAATGCACGAAGTGTGCCTGGGCTCCTCCTCCTCCTCCTCCTCCTCATCCTCCTCCATTTCCTCCTCCTCCTCCTCCTCCTCCTCCTCCTCCTCATTCTCCTCCTCCTCCTCCCCATCCTCCTCCGTTTCCTCCTCCTCCTCCTGGTCTCCTCCTCCTCCTCCTCCTCCTCCTCCTCCTCCCCATCTCCTCCTCCATCCTTCCTCCTCCTCTCCTCCTCCCCTCCTCCTCCCCCTCCTCCTCCTCCTCCTATCATCATTCTCCTCCTCCTCCCCATCATCCTCCTCCGTTTCCTCCTCCTCCTAGTCCTCCTCCTCCACCTCATCCTCCTCCTCCTCCTCCTTCTCCTCCTCCTCCTCCTCCTCCTCCTCCCCATCCTCCTCCTCCTCCTCCAGGCGCCCTGGCACACAGGAGCGCGCCAGGCGTCCAGGACAAGCCGGAAGCTGGGGTGACATAGGATGGGCACTGAAGCAGGCAGGGATGTCCCGAGAGCGCGGGATACGCTCAAGCCCCGACTGTTCCACGGAATTCTGCAATTCACATTGATTATCACACTTCGCTGCGCGTTTCATCGTGTGCACCTTCATAAAGGCCTCCCAAATGGGGTCCGACTAGATGGGGTCTGAAAATCGCCCCGCATCACCGACACATCGGCGATGCGGCCCGATGTGGAGCCCGACTTCCTCCACGCCGACTTCGCCGGCGCATCGCACACGTCGCAGATGCGTCGGCGATGTATCGGCGATGCATCGGCGATGTACCGGCGATGCGCCGGCGATGTGGCGCAGCGCGGTCCTCCGATTCCATCTTCGGCCTCGGATTACAGTAGGCAGGGAAAGCCCCTGGCTGGCAATCAACAGGAGTGAACACGTCGACGGCGAGCCCTGCCCGCGCCTCCATCTCCCAGGTGGCTCGGACAGGAGGGGGGGATAGGCAGGAGGAGAGGGAAGGAGGGAGGAGGAGGGATGGGAAGGGAGGAAGAAGGGCAGGAGCAGGAGAGGAGGGAGGAGGAGGAGGAGGGAGCAGGAGGGAGGAGGAGGGGGAGGGAAGGAGGGAGGAGGGGGGGGGGCAAAGGAGGGAGGAGGGGAGGGGAGGCGGCGCGGCCCTGGGAGGAGTTCCAAATCCTGGCCTTGTCGAGAAGTGCCCCGAGGCCCCAGAGGTCCACCGTCCTGTGGCACGCGCACATACCGACGACACCCTCTGATGGGCCTGTTTTCCACCACCACCACCATAAGTTGGAGGGGGGAAGGAGGTGGAGGAGGAGTAGGACCACGAGGAGGTGGAAGAGGAGGAGGAGGAGGACCCTTTCCCCCTCCAACTTATGGGTCGCAGACTCTGGAGTGGTGGTGCTCCGCACCAGACACCAGAGATGGCACGAGCAGGGCACAGCCTTTCCTCGGGGAAACTCGAACCGCCTTCCCCCCCAGCCCTCCAGAGCCTCTGGGGGGGGGGGCCGAAAGCAGGCGTTGGAGCACGATCCAACAGCGAGTTCGAGAGCGGGACCTTGCCAGGAAGCGGGGCCCCACAGGGCCCAATCACCGAAGGCTCCAGAGGCTCATCGAGAAGGCCCCCACCGACCTAGAGTGGGACCCCGACTTGACGCCGGATGAGCAGTGGGCACTCTGGGACAGCCTCAAAGTTCGGTCCGACCGACCTTTTCCGCTCCCCGACCTGCACGAGAGGCGAGGCCCGCTCGATGAAGCAGGCCCAAGACGGTTTCGCGGATTGGTTGGAGACCAGCATCAAGCGAGGCGGCGGAGCCGCCCACGCCTTCACCTGAGAGATGGAGGTCGAGGTTGCCCCAGAGGAAGCAGACAACTTCGTGGTGGAAGAAGAAATCATCATGGACCCAGCCGACATCCTTGGGGTGAAACGCAGTTTCTGAAAGTCGTACTGGGGCCCACAGATGATCAAGGCCACGACCCACATCTCGGCACCGTGGATTCAGGATCTTCGGGGAAAGGCGATGGAGGACAAGTCCCTGGAGGTTCCCTGGGCGGGGGAGCCGGTAATCAAAGCCATTGAAGCATCCCCAGGGCACTCGGTCACAGGCATGGACCAATGGAAAGTTCGGGAGTTCGCTCGGCTTCTAGGACCTGGGCTCACAAAGCCTACGGGCCTACTCAACGCTATCGAAAGCGAGCATACCATGCCAGCCCAGTGTTTAGGTAACACTGTTGCGTTCAAGCCGGAGACGATGACGGCGGACAGGCAGATCACGCTCACCGCCTCCCTCTACATAATGGTCATGCGGCTGAGAAGGGGGGGAGATCAGCAGGTGGGAGTTGGCCAACGCAGGACACCCCGACGCTGCACTCGAAGGCTCGAGTTGTCTCAGAGCGCGCATCATCTCTTAGCATTTGTGCGGACGCAGGGGCTGAGTTTAATACTAAGATCGTCGACGGGCTCCTGGACCTAGAAAAGTTCGATGGCACTATCCTCACCAACGCTCTAGCTCAGAAAGCCAGGAAGGTGGGACATCCTAGTATCTGCCTTAGCCTCGGGATCATGACCCACCTCGCAGTACGTTTCCTCACCGCGGAGATGGGCGCGTTAGCGAACAAATCATCCTACAATGCAGTAGTTTGGCAGGGTGCGGCCAGAGCGTGGCTTGGACCTGCGTACTTTTGTTTGACCTGCTACATCAGGCGCACACCAAGTTCGATCGTCTCACGCTCTGGACTTGCGTCGGCGACTTGCGCGCCCGCATGGTCGGGGCCATGAAGTACATCTAAGCAGGGTTCGTAGATCTTGGGTGCAGTCTATCCCCGAAGTCGGCCCTCCTGTCGAATGACAATGACACCAGGAACCAGATCCAGGACTCCTGCCTCATCACCAGGATCCCCCTCCAGACCAAGTTGG